TAAAATAATTATAAATTGAAATCTGAAGGTACAAAATAATTTCTGCATTGAATACAAATAACCTTGCAAGAATTTGACCGCAGAAAATTACTTGCAATACAAGAGAACTGGTGTACAAATTCTTTCCTCATTTAATAAAACTTAACTCATTAAATTAATTAAATATCTACTTTTCTGCTTCTCTGTTTAACTAATTACGGAGGACTTTATTTCTGTTCTCAAAAGCCATCAGAACCTGAAAGCAGTTTCTATGTCAGTCGACATTCCCTCGCTAACATTGCAAGAAAATGCATGTATAACCTGAGCCCTCAACTTGTCTGTTGTTTCCCTTGACTAACATTGCAAGAAATCATTGTAATCTTCGAAAAAGAGAATGTATATGAAACTGAATGTGCTAATGGTGAAAATATGTGGATAAAGAAAAAAAAAAAGAAGCAAAAAGAAATACATGGACAAAGAGTGAAAGGAAAATTGAAGTTTGAAAGTACGACAACCTTAATCCTTGCTTATAACAACATAACAAAGCTCAATAATTAATGAGGACAGATTAGGAATATGGGTTATATTTTTGATTCATTGGAAGGTTCAACGGGCTAAAAATAATATTGTGTATAGATTGTGTGCTACACAGTAAAAGAGCTGTCCGCTTAACTCACCAAATTAGTGAAAATTTTTATAAAAAATACTCAACTTCGAGATTTTTCTCTTTCATATAAGTGAAAGACCGACCAAATATGACTTGTTCACAAAGTTTCTCACTAATTTGGGGACAGTTGAAGCCGGTTTTCAAAACTTGAAAAAATCCGCCACATAATGATCCAATATGGTCCTTCTTAATAACACCCATCCCCAAAGATACTTGAGTGCTATTCAATGAAATAATCATCATTAATTTAAAAGAAGGGTAAATGGAGGAGAAGAACCATTTTACACATACACTAGAGGTTTTTTTTGAGGCCTGTCCGGACTGTGAGAGACCATATTTTTGTTGCTGTCCGACTTTACCAAGAATTGCCGAGCATGTCTATTAATTTGAGTCAAATCTCCTGTTTCTAGTTAATAAACTTGTTAATTTTCCTATCAAAAAAAAAAAAAAAAATATTGAAAGTCAAATCTTGAACTGTTTCACAAAAAACAATTAGTGTCTTTTACGGAATCTTAATAAAAAATATATTTTATTTTGTAATTCATCACTAAATCATTACCTTTTATAAAAATAAATAGAAAAAAAAACTAGTTTCAAAATAAGTGATAAATTTTACAAAATTTCAAAAAAAAAATATTATTATTATTTTTTTTGTATAAGAGGAGAAGCTAAAAAGTAAGATAACATAGAAATTAACATATTTCATATAATCTCTTCTTATAACCCGTGTCGAATATAGACACTTTCAAACATTTTTTGGACATGTGTTTAAACACTGTAAAAAAAATAATATCTATTATTTTAATTTTATTAAATTTGGGACATTTAAGAATACTTCTGGATATACTGTAAAAGATATTTAAAAAATTAAAATGTGGGATATGATTGGGAATAATTGATTCTTTTAAAAAAGTTGAATTTTCCAAATATCCAGAATTTATATATAGGATCAGACCAAAACCTAAGTCTACACCCAGATAATTGTAACATGATTCCAAACTTTAATCATATTTCATATATTATAATTTTTTTAATGATATAAATAAATTATTTAATTTATGGATTTTAATAATATTTTCTATTAATTATAAAATAAAATAATAATTTGCTCATATTTTCATTTCAATTTTTTTTCTCTTTAAATTTTAGAACCCTTTAAAAACTAATATCTATTATTCATTTTATTTAATTTAATTAGATATTTAACGGAACTTCTAAAGATATTATAAAGACACATTTGAAATTAATAATGTGGAATATCGTAGGGGAATAATTTGATTTCTTTTTAAAAAAGTTGAAAAATTTTAAATTATCAATTTTAATCTCTAAAAAGATAAAATTGTTATGGTTTAATGGTATATTAATTTGAGAATTTTAATTAATTATTTGAGATAAAAATTAAATTATTTTTTATTTTATCATTTATAATTTAAGTATAAATGATTTATTTCTTTATTTAAATTATTATAAATTATAGTTATTTTGGTGTGATGTGTATGCCTAAGCGTGTCATGTCCAACTTTTTTTTAAAATTACCTATATTCTGTTGTCTGTGGTCCGTGTCATGTACCGTGTTCGTGCTATACAACTCAGGCTAAAAGCTAATAAACAAGCTTAGAGTAGGTTTAGAGTAGGAAACACGCACTCATATCGTGAATTAACCACTAGAAATTAATCTTGAGTGAGGAAGGAAACTTGAATAGGTATGGGGTACCAAAGTATACGGAACTTGCACTTGTGAAGAAATCTGCAATCGAAATTTGCCTTCCTCTGAATATGGGTGATAGAAAAATCTAATATAATTCTAGAATGCAATTAATTCAGGTAGTTACAAAGTTGTTTTGTTTTCTCCAGCAGCTTGAACGTATCTTTAACATGTGACCACCGTTTTCACATCAACATTTCACTATAATTTAACCATGTGAAAATCCCACTTACTTTGACCAACTAGAAAAATCATCTGGAATAGTATATTTTGGGATTTGCTTCACAAATAGAGTGATTATATGAAAAAGAAAGCAAAATTCATATATAAGTTTTTTTACCATATCCCTAAATTTTATAACTAATAAAAACGGATGGTTCCTTACCTATCGTTAAATGGAAATGCTTTTGGTGGAGGCCTAATCCGTGAAAGTTATGGAAGCTTGATTGCTGGTTTTAAACAATTAATATTGATTGTACTAACAGTTTTGGAAAGCTGAGCTTTGGCTCTCTCACGTGTTTGCCAACTTGCTTTGAGTTCAAACACTCTAACCTTAAATTATTCAACTGTGATTAATTATGGTGATGCAGTTGGTGAATAGTATTTTTCTTAGCCCTCTAAGTTGTTTTCCGGATCAATTGGTTTTCCAATCAAAAATCTTATGGTGCAATTTTGGTCGCCATGGGGTTTGGAGGGGTGGGTTTCCCTCGTAAATTTTTTGGGAGCTAATAACTCGGTGCTGATTGGTTGTCAACGTTTTTTGCTTAAGTTCTTTTTTTCAGTCAAATAAATCCATAATTTGTTTTGGGATAACTTGATCTTGTTTTGTTTGTTAATCTTAATCTTCCAAGATATTTTTGGTGGTTTCTGTTACTAATTTTCTGCATTCAGTTTCTGTAAAAGCTATATAAATAGCTATTCTGTGTCAAGTTAATAACATCCATCAGATTCTTCTCATAATTTCTTTCCTCTTTCTTTCTTAATTTCTTTACATTTACAACAATTCTGGATATCAGATCCCTTAGGGGCGTTTAGAAGTAGCAGTCTCTATTAAGTGTTTTCTTTTTCTTTTTCTGTGATTCAATATGACAATAATCTCTTTTGTTCAACCAGCATACCCCAAATTTGATGGGCATTATGATCATTGGGGGCGATGCTCATGGACAAATTTCTTAGCTCAAAAGTAATTGGCACTTTGGGTTAGAAGATGGAGTTCCTGCAAACCAGCAGAAGGAGTATCTTTGACAGACGCACAAAATAAAAGCTTTGAAGATCAGAAATTGAAAAACTTGAAAGCGGAAGAATTTTCTATTTCAGCATGGATCGGTCGAGTCCTGGAGAAAATTCCTAAAAGGATACAGTAAAAGACATTATAGGGACTCTCCTGAAGCAAGAAATATCACGACAACTCGTGTTAAGCATGCACAGCTGCAAGCTCTTCGAAAAGACTTTGGAAAAATTCTTCACATGAAGACTGGAGAAACTATGAATGAGGTTTATTGCCCCGAACTCTTAACCATTGCTATAAAATGAAAAGCAAATGGTGAGGACAAGGGTGATAGCTGTTGTGGTTGAAAAAATCTAAGATCCATCGACTCCCAAATTTAGATTGTTGTTTGTTTAATTGAAGAATCAAAAGGACACAAGCATCGCTAATATTGATGAGCTACATAAGTAGTTGCTGGCTGGTTGCGGACTGCTTGTGCATGAACAACGCATGAAAATTCTCAGAATGAAGAAGAGCATGCTTTGAAAGTTTCACATGAGATCATTCTGGAGGAAGAAGGTCGCGGTAATAGTCGGTGGTTGTGGATCAGGCAGAGGCAAACAGAGTTTTGACAAATCAACAATTGGAGTGCTACCATTGTCAAACCTTAGGCTCACTTTCAATGGGAGCTGTTCACAAAAAGAAAAGGAGGTTGGCATTTTGTTGAGGCGCAAGAAGAGATGTTGTTGAATCTGGCATATTTGGAAACAAATTATTGCCAATAAAGAAGATACTTGGTTTCTCGACTCAGGTTGCAGCAATCACATGATGAGGGAAGAAAGGATAATTTCTTTGATCTTGATGAAAGATTTAAAGATTTTGTGAAGGTATGGCAAACAATTCCTAGCTTTGAATGTCAAGGCAAAGGCAATAACCAGGCTGCTAATGCATGAGAAAGACAGACATCACAGGCGTATTTATATACCTAGATTGAAGAATAATTTACTCAGTAATTGGCAACTTCAAGAAAAGGGTTCTCTCTCATCTGTTTCAGCGTAATAAGTGAAAAGTGTCATCTGAAAAGGGGTTGATTATGGGGACAGCGGTATGCTAACGTCCCATTTTTCTATTGAAATCGAGTTGTTGCTTGAAGTCGAGTCGGCGCTGATCCTAAAAACCCGGTTTTGAGCCATTAGAGTCCAGAGTGGGATAGAAGGGATGTAATTGAAATCAGGAAAAGAATTGGACTTAACTTGCAGGAAACAAAAAGATCAAAGTAATAAGATTAGGACTTGCTTGCACAAAGTATAAGAAGTTGAGGTTTGAGTTGTACCATTTTGAACACTTGAGGTAACATTTGGTAATTTCACAAAGTAAAAATCAATGATATTTTGGAGATGTTACCCGTGAGTTCCATTTTCCAATTTTCATTTCTTCATAACCTTATCTTCCACTTCTTCCTCTACTTTCCTCTTCACCTTCCTGTTCTCCATGACTTTTAATGGTATGAATGATTTTAATGGGAGTTAAAGCATTTCATTTCAACTTCTATTCTATCCAAGTAAGTAAACCTTCCTTAATTTCAATAATTGAATCAATTTGGTGATATTTTAGAAAGTATTCATAAGAAATTTCTTATGTATAGGAGAGGTGAGGCTCCAAGGAGAAAGAAAAAAGGAAAGCTAAAAGAGGAGCTTTAAGCCTTTTTGGAGTGAAGGCGTGCTATCTCTTTTTACGTTAATTAATTTCCTTGCATGAGAATTTGTGGGTGGTGGTTTGATAAATGAGAGAAATATGTTGCTAATGTTGAGTAAGAGACTGGAAATGGTGAAAAAGCATGAAGATGAAATGAAATAATGAAGTAGATATTGAAGTTCATACTGGAAACAGGTTTTGACTGGAAAAGTAACCAGTAACTTCAACCATGATTTGGAACCCTAAAAGTTAATGATGGAACTAGAAGTGGCAGAAGAGTATTTGTTCCTCTATGTGTTTAGCTTTCATGGGTTTTTTGAATCACCCAAATCGGAGTTGTCCAATTGAGAAGAATATGAACCCAAAATAGTACAGACTATGCAAGGCTGAAAAAAACACGATGCGCGTCGCAGATTTCAATGTCGACTTCGCGAATTTGGCCTGTGAACTCTGACTCTCATTTTGCACTTTCGCGCTCGCCGAATTTTGGCCTGTAAGCTCTCTGACCTCCTGTGTGTTCGTCGCGCTGGCGACTTTTGCATGGCGCGTCGTCGCGAATTGTGTTTTTGATGCTCCTTGGACCTTCATTTTCATGCAATTGTATTCCTTTTGCTCAACTTGTATGCCTCTAATCATTTTAAAACAAAAAGACAACATTGAGAACATGTATCAAAACAAATGCAAGCATGCAAATGAAATGTGAAATGAGTAAATAATATGGTGTAGAAGTTATGAATTCTATGCAATTGTATTCCTTTGATCACTTGTTAGCCTCTATCATTTTAAAACAAAAAGACAATTGAGAACATGTATCAATAACAACATGAAGCATGCAAATGATGTGAAATGAGGTAAATAATCATGGTGTTGAAGTTATTGAATTCTATGCCAATTGTATTCCTTTGCTAACTTGTAATGCCTTCAATGATTTTTAAAACAAAAGACAACAGAACACATGCATAAACAAAAATCGCAAGAATGCCAAATGATGTGAAACTAACATGACACAAGTGCCTGCTGGCGAGGCTAGCAGCATACCAGGTAAGAGTAATGGTTTTATGAAAATTACGAAAGCAGTTAATTTTCATGACACAAGCATGGCAAATTCAGGAACGCAGTTACTAATACTTTTTGTTTTATATATTGGACATACCACAATAAATGCTCCATCTGAGGTTTATGGTAGAAACCACTTAGATAGGCTATGTCCGCGACAACTAGATAGCAGAATCTGCTGCCCATACAGTATTGGTACTCCCGGCTACAGGCCGTTGAGTGGATATGAATATATAATGGCCATAGCACCCAGTCATACATATTCTCCAGTTTCATACAGTTTAATTATCAGTTGGTTTCTTACTATACACTTATGGAGCTTATACAATACACCAAACCAGTTCTAATTGACTACAAATTGGCATAATCATACGAGTATAGAAATGAGCAGCAATAATGATAATGAAAGTAATCATGATCATATGTGCTTACATTCATAAGTAACAAATGGGTTTATTTCTACATAATGTTAATGTGCTTATATGTTTCTTTATCGTGTGCGATGTTATGAGTTTTATAAAATGTTGTAGAATTCATACAGCATAAAGAACATCAGGTAAGATCATGAAAAAGTAATAATGCTATAGTTATGCTTACAAGTTCATTTATTTAATTCTTAGAGCCATACATTCTATCGAGATGTTATTAATCATAACTTATATGATGTGACTAAAAAAAAGTGATAAAGTCAATACAAGCATAATGAACAGCAAGTAAGACATGAAATATACTGTTATGTATTCTTACTTATTCATGATTCATTCCATACAACATAATGAATAGCAGTAAGATCATAATAGTATCCATGAATGTGTGATTAAAGGTTTCATGTAAGAAGGAGTTATGAGATAATTAGAACTCACTTATTTATGTTATGGATTAGAAAGTTTATTCCTTCACTTATAAAGATAACATTTATGTTGAAATTTACCTGCTTTTATGAATTATCAAGTGCTTTTTTATGAAAATTTTCTTTTAACAGTTAGTTTGCCTCGGACTCTGTTAAGTAATGTGAATTATGAGCACCGCACTGAGTTTTTATATACTCAGACGCGTCGGATTTTTTATCAGCGTAGGTTGAAGATCGTGTTGCTACTTGAAAGACTTGAAAGTACTATCGAAACAGAAGTGTTATTAATTTGGTCATAGTAGATTGAGAAGTTGTATATTAGAGATTATGGCATGTATAATTATTAACATTTGTTTAGAGCTTATGTATTGGAAATATAAGGAAGCAGTAATTATTTGGCGTCAGTATTGGGAGATAACCGGAATAAATACTTATCGAAAATGATTGAATATGAAATATTTTACCATAGTTTGGTATTGAATTAGGTCAGGCAGACTTGAATATATAATGATGCAATTAATTGCTGGAGTCTTAAAATGTATTGAGGGAATTTATACAATTATGAAAATATATATAAAGTGTTATTGTGTTATGACTGATATTTGGAGATGTTAGCAGTGTGAGTTTAATTGGGAGTGTTTTGTATTCATATTTAGCATACAGCGATGATAATCACGCATTAACAGGACATAAGTTCAAGAGGTCGCAGCATTGTACGTCTGGCTCGGTCATTCGGGTTAACGGGTGGACCCGAGAAAGGGATGTTACATGGTAAATGGCTTTCAAATTGAATGTATGCTCTAAAATGCTATACTCAACGCTAATAGCAATCAGCCTGTTTTTAGCAACAATTCAGAAGATGAATGTACAGCTTTGGGCAATTGTCGTCTTATG